CTTTTTATTTGGTCCTAATTATAAGACCCAATCCATTTTCTCTCTTATATTTATGCATTTTTTCCAAGATAATCCTTCTAATAATGATAGTTTTAGCCAATATACTTAATTAGCAAGGATATTTTAGGAATGACAACACTTATTTATTATAAATAACCAACTTAACTTACTTCCTTAATCTCCTCAAATAAGTCAATTGGGTCTTATAATTAGGATCGGAGGAGTATCTCTTTTGAGTATGTCTCTATTGCCCCACTTTGTTGGATCAACAAAATTGGAATATGCAGAATCATTTATCGAGTCCATCCCATGCACGCCTCAGACTCATTAAGCAAACTGATCAGCATAAAAGCATCTAAATACTTTCGCATGTAATCTCAGTGTGCCTCCACAGCCAGGCTTCCCATTGTTCACCATTCCCAGAGATTTGTGGAGAAAAAAATTATCTACTAAACAAGGCTTCATAAGCTTTCTTCACATAATGTAGGCAAACTTAAGAGAGAACATGTCATACTTTTCCATCTTCCACTTAACAGTACCCTCCCCCCAGAAAGAACCACCCTCTCAGTACCTTCCATAACTTGGTCCCAATTATTTTTTACGCCCATCCATTGCCGGGAACCTAAGCCAGGTCCTATATTTGGGATCACATCCCTATCTGCATTAAACATATAGCTGTAGTCTGCATTTGTTTGCTTAGGTGCATAATCATAACAAATTTGCATTTAGAGTATGCTTGCATCATTCTAGAGTAGCGGTACTGTATTTGCATATAAATAACTAGGTCCATTTTGCAATTAGAATTCCAAAATTGCTCCCTAGGAGAATGTTTTAGGTTGCCACTATATTTTATTTATAGTTGGATCTAGAACTAATTGGTAGCGGATTTGATCGCTAGCCGCATTGAAGCAGGCTACCCAGTCGGCGACGGAGAGATAGTTTCTGCATTGAAAAAGCGTAGCAACGGGATTTCCTCCATTGCTTTGCTGTGCCGTGACGAAGTGCTTGTTCTGGACACAGATCTGCTCTCTGATGTCTCGCAGAGTTCCGTTTAGGTTTTGGTTGAAGACGGAGACATTGGAGCCCAGAGATATGTTGGAAATGAAGTACGGATTACACTCGCTGTTCAGAAGATGGGTCTGTGGATCCGAAACGACCCCGCTTAGGATCCCAAATGAGAAGAATATGAAGGTCCATGAGAGAGGAAAGAGATTAGGAGGATGAAGCATCGATCAATCTGATTGTTGGCTCTGTAAGAAGGGGAGGGGGAAGGGGAAGGAAGAAGGAGCGATGTGTGAGAGAGAGCAACGAAAAAGTAGGCACAGTGCTTGAAACTAGAGGGACCAAATAGGGAATTGGGTTATATGCTTTGTTAAAGGAATTAGAGGAATTAGTGATTAATGATGGGATTTGGATATTAATTAATAGTAATTTATTTTTTAGTTTAAACTTTTCTAAAGTGCGGCCAAAATGGACCGGGATAAATTCATGGTTAGCTATATATAATTTGAGCTGCCTTGGTTGACTTGACTGACCTAAATTTTTCATTTTTTATTTTCATTTTTTCTAATAAATCTATTATATATCCTCATTTATATACTATAAATATTAATTGTTAATATAACATATAAAATCAATGGAAACCCACATTGCTTATATATTATGAATAATGCGATTTATTTTCGTCTTATTAAGATGTGCGGAAATTGACTTCTTATATTTTTTTTATATCAAATAAAATTATTGAATTCGGTTCGTTATAAATTGTATTCTATAAAAAATAACTCCTAATTAGACCTAAGACGCATATATATATATAGTTATATTTATATATATATGTAAAAGGAGTTTGATCAAGTTATAAAAATGTTTAATTCAATTATGCTTTATAAATTTTTGGGGCATTTACTTCGTTATAAAATTAAATTCTTAATCCTTTTAAGAAAATTAAATAATGGAGTAGAAATTCTCACGAGACATCAAACCTAAAACAAGCAGTACCACTTAACACACACACATATTCATATACACACACATGTCATTTAATTTTATTTTTTCCCTCAAAGAACTAGAAATAATAAAATATGCTGGTAAAAAAAAAAAAGACATAATAAAATATTATTTGTGTTTTCTACAGAACGGAATATGACTTGGATTTTCTTTTTTTCTCAGTGGATATCCCTCTCATCTCCCATTATTATTAATAATTAATGAAATGAAAATGATCATGTCCTTCGAGATTAATTACTATGATTAAGTTTAGTAAACATTTTTGACAATATTACGCATTTGAAAGTAACTCAGATGAATAGGAAAATGATGTTTGAATTTGTGTTTTTTAACAAAAGGAAATCTTCAGTTATATATGTATAAACATATAATTTAGCCACGGCAGATGGGGATATATTTTGATTTAAAATATTTTTTGTGGATAAATAAATTGCTGAGGATTAAGTATCTATAATTTTTTATCAGAAAAGAATTAATAAGGCAAGTGAGTCAGAGGGATAATGGAGCCATTTCTCCACATTTCAATATCGTCATTTCATTTCCAAATTCTTGAAGGGTGCATAGCAGCATTAATATATGCAAAGGATGGCAAAGCAATTTAAGAAAAGCCAAGCCTTTTGATTTGTTCGCTTGTTTCTAGAGTCAAGGAGAACTTCTAATTTGCATGATGGGGTTGGAAGACTTTCAAATTTTCAACAATGACCGAAAGGGAAAAAAGAGAAGACTAGCATCATGAGTTATCGTGGAAGTCACCTTACAAGCGATAGTGTGATATAATAAGAAACAACAGCTGGGCTGACCTACTATAAAATCAGGACTTTTTAAAATAAGGTCTTAAATTTAAGTTTGAGAGAAAGATATCAATTAACAAAATATGAGAATCTCATGGTTATTTAAAATGTCTTAATTCATAAAGTCCTAAGAGATATTTTGAAAGCGTTAAGATACAAATTCGTGTGAAAATTTTCACTCAATTGGGCACCTGAAAGATTTTTATGTGCAAATTTGCCTTAAAAATTTTGAATCATAGCAATTTTGCCCGTTACCATAAAAAACTAATTGGTTATATTGACAGATAATATTGTTAACATTAAAAAAGTTATCATGATTTTAAACTTACATAGTAAATTTGCACCTTAATGCTATTTTTAAGTTAAGTTTGTATGTGAAGTGATGTAATTTTCTTGAAACTAGTGATCATCATTGTCTTAATTGTTGTTATCATTTTATAAGTTAAAATTATTACTTATTAAATTGTCACTGTCATTGGTATTTAACAATTTATTTTGTGAAATTTGTTGTTGCTAATTGCTATCTTAATTGTTCTTATTTGATAAATTAAAATTGTTTTTTATTTAACCATTATGGTCATTTAATTTTTTTTTTCATATTTCATATTTCTAATTAAGGGCATTTAAGTAATTTTTTTACAAAATTTAATCCCAGTTCGTTCTATAAAAGCTTTATTCCTGAATTGGGAATTGGGAGGTATTTTTACGTCTTTCTCCCTTTGAGTTTTATCGAGGATTAGCTCATTAGCCCATAGAAAATTAGCTAGTTGATAGCACTGAATATTTGATTAGTTTTTTTTTTTAAAAAAGAGAGAAATTCTATATATTATATGTTCTCAAAATATGATCTAATTTTGTAAAATATTTTGAATGTGGAAATTAAAAAAATTATTTTAATAAAAAAGGCGCATATATTACAAAGACTAAAAAAATATCAGTATGTTTAGTTGAAACTGTTTTATTTGATATAATATGAACAATAGTCTTGAGAATATTTTATGGATTTTAACGATTGATCACAATATCGGTCAAGTTCTTGTTTCCATAGTGAACAGCGTGAAAAGCAGAACTTCACTATCTTGTCTTCTGAATGACTTCGATGGATATTAGGGAATCATTTTGTAGCGTGCCAAATACGGAGTAGAATACACACACACACACACACACACACACACAGGAGTTTGACTCATTCTTACAACTAATTTATTCTATGCTGTTTTGGACTTATTTTGTTTCTTAATTTGACAAAAATATCATCAACATTTCAATGAGTCATGATATGTACAAATATATATACACTACCTCCAGTCCTAATTATAAGAGCTAGTTGACTAATTTGAAAAGATTAAGGAAATAAGTTAGTTATTTGTAATAAATAGATGTTTTCTTTCCTAAAATATCCTTGTTAATTAAGTTTATTGGCCAGAACTATTATTGTTAGAAGGATTACCTTAGGAAAAAATGCATAGATATGATAGACAAAGTGGACTGGGATCTTATATTTAATATCAAAATAAAAGTCAAGCAAAGTCTTACAGTAAAGACCGAACGTAGTATATGTTAAAATATATACAGTTAATGGATGTGTCAACTTGCAATATTCATATAGCGGAAGACACAATCAAAACTGAGTAGTTAGGTCTGAAATATATGGTCCACATAAACATTAATTAGGCTATATATAATATACATGTTGAAATGATTTATTGCACTTAATTAAAGCAAATAAAAAGGCTACAAATATATCAAGATTATCAAGTGTATCTCTCATTAGGGTGACATTTTGTATTGACGAAAATGGAAAGAAATGAACAAATAATTAAGGAAATCCTTTTCGTTCACTGACCATTTATTAAGTTGGTATGTTAATTGTGCTCCTTGCAAATTTTTTTCCCTAATGTTTTGTTTGTTACAGAATCAATAAAAAAAAGTGGGGCCTTTTTATTGTTGATTTGATTTTTTTAAATATTTTCTGTTTTTCAAAATTTGCAGGCTTTTGAAATTATATTAAAAATAAAATGGGCACGGATACTGTTACTTTACTATTTATTAATTGATAATTGATTTTCTTATTTAAACACAACGATTTTCCCTTACACATGATTTTTTTTTTTAATTCAAGCAAGAGAGAAAGAGTAATGGCACACAAAGATTATACTGATCCTGTCTTAAAAAATTCCTAAGAGTTTCCGTTACACAATGTGCACTACAAACAATCTTCAGTCAGCTCAGGTATAAAGAGAGTAATTAATCACTAAGTGATCAAAAGATATCCACATAAAATGCGTAAAAATATGATATACTCCCTCCAACTCTTTTTATAACATCCTTTAATTTTAACTAAGTTATGTGGTTTAAGAAAAGAGTTGAAGTTAGTTAAAAGTAATAAATATGTAAAATTTGAACATTTTTATCAAGCATGTATGTCCTTATTTAATAAGCAGCAAATAAGAGAGAGAAATATTAGTAATGAGATAAATGATAGAAGAAAATGTAGTATGAGAAAAAATTTAAGAGAAAAAATAGAATATCAATTAGGAACAAAATTGGTAAAAAATTAAGCATATTTGATGATTGCATGCAGGGATTTTTTTTTCCCCTTTGTTTATGCTGGTATATGATGTATCAAACTTCTTAGTCTTTCTTTTTGGTTCATGCCCAGTGAATTTTGAGATGAAAGCCACCCAGGCAACACATGCCTTAATTCTAAGCTAGTCTCATAAGTCATAACATCATTTGTCTGTGTCTTCTTGTTACAATTATCTTTCAGACGAATATCATGTCTTTTTGTATGTTTCAGGAAGAGCTTTATGAGTTTATATGGGAAACAAACGAGCATTGTGCAGAACTTTGCAAACCTGGTGCAAGCATTCGGCAAATACACAATCATTCGGTACCTTCATCATTGCTCCTTTTTCTTAATCATTCGCCATTATTCTTAGAAACCATGTTTTTTATTATGTTGCTGTTATTTATTGCTAATTGATGCATGGATTGAAACGAAAACTATTTTGTGATTTATTTTTCTGTGTGTGTTGATAATGTTCTTATATAAGGTAGGTGCTAATGTAAAGATTTTTTTCCTTGTATTTTGAATTAATGTGCCAAAAGAAAAGATTTTTAATTTTTATGCCATATTGGTTGAGGCAATCAACCCTATACATGATGACCGATATCTTATAAGTGTTTAACCCATCATACTATTTTGCATAATCAGCAACAGTAATATGTGTGCTCTGACAACTTTTTAGTATCTCTTTTGCTAGAACGGTATGTTTTTTACTGGCACTTTACTTTTGCTTCACTTGATCTTTCTGTTTATTCAACTAACTACTTCAGACTTGAAGCTTGTTTACCTTAATTACATTATTTGAAATGGTCTGGTTGCTTAGGTTGAAATGCTCCAGAAAGGACTCAAGGGGATTGGAATTTTGAGAGGTGTTCCAAGCAGTGCCTACCATTCACTGAACCCCACTTCTATCGGTTTCTTTATGCATACCTTGAAAAATACAGCCTGGTTAATCTCTTTGTGTACAAAGATTAGTAGAATTATTTGTTGGCTCTACAAATTTTTAGGCTAGTTTGAAAAGATAAATACAGACTGGACCTGTATGTTCATCTTTTATTCGTCTAGGTCACTACTTGGGAATGGATATGCATGATTGTTCAAGGATCAGCTATCCTCTCAAGCCTGGTGTTGTAAGTTTTCTTGCCTTAAGTTTCTCTAAACTTGACATAAACTCAACCACTGGAACTTTATATAACGTGTCCATATTCATTCCTGCCTTAGTCCTATAGAGTTGCATTGGATGCGCTAAGAGCAACAGATATCTCCAGCTAATATGTTTAAAAGTATTTGATAGTCAAGGTCCTCTAAAGCATGCTACATTTAATTGAAGGAAGTCTTAAAAAATTACACCCAGGGATATTTTTCTGGCCGAGAATGACAATTTTTTCCCTTTCCTTATATAGGAACATGGCGATCATGCAAGAGTTTTATTGTTTACATGCTATAGCCGTGCTGATTGACATCGTTCATTCACATATTAGTTAACAATTTGTTCTTTTTCATTTATTTATTTTGCAGGTCATAACTATTGAACCAGGATTACACATTCCATTTCATTTTGATGGTGCAGAGAGGAACCTACTGAACTCAGAGAATTTGCTCAAACTTCAAATTAAATTGTCACGTATTGGTACAGTCCTGTACCTACTCCTCTAGTGAAATTATTTTTTGTATATCTGTCTACACAAGACATGCACATTCATGCATGGGAGGGTGGCATTGAAGCTTTAAGAGTTTCTCCCCTTTTGAAATGCTTTTGGTATATGTGTCTTGTTAATTGGTGTTGTCCTGTGCTTACTCCTCTTATGACCAGATTTAAAAATTTATCCTGTCAATCTTCTTACTTATTTGGAATCTGGGCATGCACCAAGAGGCCAAAATCAATCAATTGGAGTTAACTATAGTTTCTTAGCATGTTCATTGTCTTGATTCTTTGGAGTTTTACTGATTTACTGTGTTCATAAATTCTTCCCCATGCAAGAAATGTGCTGCTTCATCTGGATCTTGGATTTGGCACCTGAGGATCGATAATCTTCTGTCTCGAGTTAATCTGTTTCAGCTGTACTCTTGGGCTACTATGAATATATGATACGTCTTTTGGTTCTTACTTCCACTATTCTGCTTGTTTTATCTTGTGGCCACTGGCTTGATAACATCATAGTTAGCTTTTAAGCCACATGATTTATAAGCATAAACTCCTTTAAGAAATTTTATCCAATCTTGGCATCAAGTGTTCTTTTTTCGCTTGCCAATGTTTGAACAATGAATTGAGGACGAGTTTCTCATCAAGGAAACAGGTTATGAGGTAATCTCTTTACATGAATTCTTTATTTTGAAAAATATCAGATTTATGACAGCTAGAGGAGATTTGACTCCAGTTATTTTGAGAGTTAGAACAATGTACTGGGATTGCTTTGTCTTTCACAATAAATGGAAGTCAAATCTTCTGACTAACTGTTAAATAAACACGATATATACTAAATTTAGCATTTATTATGTTTTTCTGTACTATCTGTATTGTAGGCTGCCACATATTCATAATGCCTACAGCCCAAGCAAGTGTTCTAAGTAATAATCTTGATATGCATTCTAAATTTTCTTTTATGCAAACGGTCTTGTCACCTAGTGACATAAAAGCTCCTCTATAAATGGTAGATCAAGGGTTTGATCCTGCTTGCAGTCTCAGGCTATTAGTACCTACCTCTTTAATTTTGTTTTTAAAGAAATCTGTTTTATGAGAATAGAATGAGAGTAAAGAATGTTAATATCAAAATACTTTATGCATCTTATAAATCTCTAATGAATTATGGCTTATCAAGAGTATCATATACTCTTTGGTTTGCGTGCTATCTCTCATATGAACAGTAACTGATACTGAAGCTATACCACTCTGGTCCTTACCACATCAATTTCTAAGGAAATCAAGCCCATGGAATCCCTGCTAAATAACTGCCATGGAATGGGAATGGATAGCCACGGCACAATGGGAGCTCCACCACAGAGTTAAATAAGTATTGTACAAGGAAACAAGACAGGAATCCTTGAAGAAAGGGAAACCCCAGGCACGTACTGACATTTGAAGCCCAAGGACAAACCATTCTGTAACCATCTATGCTTTTTTTTTTTTTAAAATTAAAAGGACAGGCACTAACAACTTGAGATTATAATAGAATTGAACCGATGACCTCTCAGTTACAATCTATAGAAAAGCATCAATGCTATTATACTACAAAGCGTTTGGCCTTAAATTAAGTTGAAGCCTACCTTTTTCTTTTGAGTGGAATGGTGTTTTCACTTTTGAAAGCATTGCATTGATTATGGCCCCCATACTCAGCAGGTCTACGACCTTAAGCACCCAAGGAAAAAAAAAAAACCAAAAAGAAAGTGGGAGGATGGTAAGTTCCATTAATTGTTACTTTCGGTGGTCGTTAATCCTATATATAAGTTATAACTTTTGAAATAGGATTAGATCTTTCTATAAGTTGCATTTCGTACCTATCTGAAAATTAAATTTATCTTCTTCTTTTTTCATTTTTTTCTTCCATGTTTGTATTAATTTCATTTTTACTATTGTCATAATCATATTCTCATCATACTTTCATAATTCAACCACAAGTTAATATCAGATCTGATCAATTATTGAACAATTAGGAAGGGATGCACATGACTGCAAAATTAAAGAGCATTCGTTGATCAGATTATATCTAATAGAAAGGATTTATTCCTCATGACGTAACAAACCAAAGTTTAAAAGTGCTCACATTTTAAGGATTGATAGTGTTTCAAATAGACTTAGTAGAATAAGAAGATACATGTGCTTGACACCAAAAAAAAAAAAAAAAAAAGAGCAAATAAAGAGCATCGTTGAGTTTTACAATAGCTATCATCGAATAAATGAAGCATTGCTGAATCTTTCAATTCATCAGTCTCATACTTACCAAAAACAAGTCATACGATTAGAAAAATGCAGTAAATGTACCAGAATGACCAGCCACACCGACGGTCAATTAGGACAAGTCTCTTGTGTTTCAATGGTGAAATACCAAAAATTATCCAGATGTTCTGAATGGGATGAAGTTGGGTATTATCAGAAGCAATAGACTTGTTCTTTCCATGCGAAATCCAGCATTCACATATTGGCGCATCTAGAACTTCAGGTGTGATAAAGAAAAGCTATTAAGAAACCGATCACGATTTGATTAGTTCAGCTCGAGGCCTCCATAATCCCAGCCTGTACTTGTGTGCATATTTCAATATTAACTTCCTCTGCAAAGCAAAAACTATAGGTTACAAAGAGTTCGCATGTAGGCCCCACGCATTTTAATGTCTTATGGTCCAAAACGAATATCAATTAAAGGAGTCTTGAAACAAGATAGTGGAAACATCACAAAACCTTTATTTCTGCCAAAGATAAAATGGTCATACCCCTGCAGCCTTTTTAACAAGCCAGTGAGTTATCGTTCTTCAGCTAGGTCCGAATAATCTAATAGAAAAAAGCCACCAAGAAAATCTAATCTCCCATAAAAGGGCTGAATAATAGCTCACATAGATTCCCTAATAATCAGTCCAGTACGTATATATTACAATGAAATCAAAATAACTGAGCATACTAACCCCTAGGAAATTGACACCACATCCTCATAGAAATTGACGACGCATAATAAACTCGCTCAGATCATTGACAACACATTAGACAACATATGACAGCATGGCAGGGAAGTTACTCTTCATAGCATAACCATCCCTATACCCTCCACATTTTCTCTTCTTTCTACTGTATATAAGTCGTGGTATTCTATCAGCAACAGAGTCAATCAAGGGGTGGAATGCTATGTAGTACGTTAAGGAAGCACCTTTTACCCATATAACCACAAAGATCTGCTATTACTAAGCGCTAGCCACAAACAATTGCTTGAAAACTCAAGTCAGTTCAACTTTCATACAAGGGAGCCATCAGGAACCTGCTTCCAATCAGCTGTAAGAAGACGACGTGCAACATCAGAACGCAATATAACACACGCACTAGTGAGATTTACAATTATTTTTAGCAGCGGAACAAAATAAGACGGTTGACATCTATCATCCATTTCAATAAAGGTGAATTCAGATTCCAGCTGCTTATTCTTCTAGAATCCAATAAAGTTCTGTACATGAAGCATAGCTATAGGACATAATCATACTGTCAAATTATACCAGCAAGATGCCAGGAAATAATGCTGCACTATTGGCATACTTTCTGGCGAAAATTGGGTAAGCATCCATTCTGAGCCAAAAAATAAAAAGGTAAAAACACGAAGCTAACAGATTCTAAGACAAATTCCAAATAAAAAGGACCTGAGCATAACAGATCTGGTTCATAAAGTGGCATTTGGTGGGAAAACAAAAATATTAAAATTTGAATAATGACACCAGCCAAAGAAAAGAAGGATTTAACGAACAGAAACAAAGTGTATGATAAATCCATAAATTTGTACAAAAAAATAGAGACAATAATGAAAGTTCAGCAACAAACGTGTTAAGAGAAATTACCAAGAATTTAAAAATTTAAGAAATATCTTGAAGACACAAGATATTGGTCATTGACATGACATATATGCATGAATATTAAGGCATATGCATAGGTGCTTTTACAAATGATAATATGTTCTTGTATCTGCATGGAGAGAAAGCAAGCAGAGATGTGATTGGGATTACATGTTTGCAAGGAAAGCCCAGCTTCTTGAGCTTGAGGGTACGACAGACGAGAAGCTTCTGGAAGTCACCAATTTCTGTTTCAAGCTTAGCAACATGGGATTCAACTCCATTCCCTATTCCATTTACAAACTCGGGGATTCCAACCTTTGCTGCAGTAGCAAGCGTCAAAACAAGACTTTATCGTATCCATAGGTCTGCCACTTAATAACAAGAAGACTTATCCACATGTGAGGACACTTTAAGACTGAAGAAGCATGGTCACTTATTTAATTCTAGAATAGCTAATCCTGGGTAAGGCTTAAAGCAGGTTATTTCTCCAAGTTATACAAACTCAACAACGAGAAAACAATTAAACCCTCATTCCCATTTATCCCAACGAATGGCAGCACTAAGAGGTGCAAGAGATTCAGGAGGGGGGGGGGGGATCAGATTTTGAATAGACCAGCTATTACGAAGCTAAAATCTACACATTGACAGGGCCTCTTTTACAATTACCAAAATTGTCCGATATTTTTGCTTTGGGCATATCAAATAGTGAATGAAAATGAAGCATGGAGAAATGGTAGAGAAAGGAAGGAGGCATTACTGATGTACGGAGCTGATTTGGAGAAGAATCTAGAGGAATAAGGTGCAGAAGGACCTAGTGTTGATGTCAAATTTGTCCCAAAGATTCGCGGCATCCACGCCATATTGCAGCCTACTGGTCTTAAACCTTTGCAAAGCCTAGCCAACTCCAACCTCAATCCCAGCCAATGCGGGAATGAAAGTGCGCAACTCCGTCTCTGACCTCAAGTGAAGTGAGTAGATGAATACAATTCCTGTCCAGCGTCTCTACAGCAGCGATCTTGTCCGGCTGCACAACATAACGGTTCAGAAAATATATGCTGGCATTGGTATTGGTGGAACTAGCTAGGAAAACCACTAATGAAGTAAAAGTTCATAAATTCTTGAGCAAAGTCTCACAGCTTCATATCATTTAGTGACGCCAAAAACTATCAAAGTCTGGTCTTGAGCTGCAAATAATTTAATATCAGGATCTACTATTGATCAGGTAACATTAACAACTACAGCATGTATGTAACATTGTGCTACATCATTGTTACCTGAACTTAATCAAAGAAATCACAGTTGAAATCGCGGACACCGAGTACTGATAAGAACCAATCCGCAAAGGAGAAAAAGAAGATCGTAACGAATTATAGAAAAATCAAAACATCACACGTTCTGGCACAGGGTAGGAAATTTCTTTGGCCTAATGGATATTCCAAACGTAGTCAGTCGAACGATTAGTTCAATATGGCATCGAAACATGTATCGATCCTCCTCGATTGGGAGATGAATTCATTGACAGAAGCAATAATTCAAAGAGTCACAAAACCTCATAGCACGACAATTTTTAAAAATAGAATTGTAAAATGTTAATAGTGAAAATATGTAAGAAAAAAATACTCTTCCTAAATATTATAATATTTTAAATTTAAAAGGTATTAATAGTGAAATTTTATAGTACATATTATAATATAAAAGGTATTAATTTAAATTTATTTTTATGAATTTTTTTACATTGAAATCATTAAAATTTTTCATCCATTCTATCTCAGCTTTCGCTTACAGTGGAACTTACTCAGCGCTATTTAGTATAAGCACTTATAAATTTAAGTTGAGATAAAATTTCTCTTTCCTATTTATTTTGTATTTCAAAAATTATAATTAAAAAGTTGTTTTTGAGGATTGTATAAGTCTTTTGTCTTCTTCCACTTCTCCCTGATGATCACCACCTTTTCAAAGTGAATCTGAAATAGATATCTCCTTATTTAATTTTATTAAAAATCTATTTTGGGATCGTTTGGGTAGGAACAAAATTATAGTTTTGAAAGTATTTTTTACAATATATAAAGTAAATATGTTGAGAAGTTTGTCTCAATTTATAAAAAAAATATTTTTCTGTGAGTATAAAACTAAATGTACTAGAGAAATTTTGTCCAATAAATATATTTGGGAATCCTAATCATCATTCCAACAAGCACTAAGCATGCATCCCCACTGCCAAAAACAGCTTTTTGGGTTTTATTGAGCCAAGTAACCTTTTCGAGCAGAAGCTTTACCTCTAATTAAACTAAAACAACTCTCTTACTAGTTGTTTCAACATAATTGACGCTCCTTTCTCCTTCTTTTCCTCTCATTATATGTATGTTTTTGGGGGTTGGGTGGGTTTAATTTAGTATGCACTTGAAACAGATTTTAAAAAATAGAAGAGGAAATCAGATTAATTAATATAGCTTGCAAAATTAAGGCAGAGAACTAATACAAGGCAGCTAACAACTATGAAAAATGAGTTAACTAGACATAATTTTAAGATTCAAAAAATCAGACCGGATCGACTGATTCAAATTGAAAACTAGTAAACGGGCCTTTGGTTTAGCAGATGAATTGTTCTCCAAACAACCCGGTACAAACAGGAAAAACTCGATAAAAACCCGGGAGTAGACGCAAGGTGGATATCTCTCTGAGGCCGGGAGCAATTAGCAAGGGTCAATAATTAAACATCTATAGGTAGCATCCTCGTGCCAATTTCACAATAGGGGCAAACGGTGCCTTCAAAGTAAACGGCAATGGTGAAAGTTATTATTTTTTGGGTGAAATGTGAATATTATTATTTTATTTCTATTAAAAGAATCAATTAATGATTCACAGACCAAATAATAGAAAAGAAGCAAAACAAGAGTCCCACTTGAGGGGATAGAGTCACACTCAAAACATCAACATGCAAAATAGGACAAAGAGTCTTCGGGAAATAAGTTGGATAATAAATGGGCAACCAAGAGGTAGCGATAATATCTATATATATGCATGAGTGGCCAGGAAATCAGCCGGCACGGAATCTCTCCATTGGGCAGCCTCTCCATTTAGCCTCCATTTAAATAAAACGGTGTCGTTTTATTATCCTTTTGAAAAATTACAGCTTTTTCCAACTCAACTGAGTGTTTATCGTTTCGGTCTCGTGAGTTTTTTGTTCTTCCATGACCGACTTCTCTTCTTTCACACATCTCACTATTGTTAGTGATAATTCCTGATTGCCCACCGTCTCTTCATCCGTTGTGCTCTTCTGTGATTCTCTTCATCCATAATGCTCTTCTAAGTCTTCACCACCCATGGTCCTATTCACCTTCAACCACCATCGCCCAGATCTGGCTCGTCATAGGGAGAAGAGAGAAAGGTAACATTCCATTCTTCCTCACCCACTTATTTTATTTCTTACCCTTTAAAATGCTTTAATGCCCCCCTTTTCCTTCACAAATTACGCCCCTCTATCTCCGTTGCTTTATCTACGGTATTCTAAATAAGATTTTTATTTTCAAAGTGGTTGGGTGTTTAACAAATTGAACTGTCTTCGATGTTTCTTACCTTTGGTTGGTGAATGGTGATCAAAGAGGGAATCTTATTGCCACGGGAGGCTGCATCTTTTAGTGCTCACTATATTGCTGATACAAAAACTGCTAAATAGTGGGCAGCAGAACTACTCCTGACCATCTAAGGGAATAATTATGTGCTAAAATTTTTGTCGTGTCTTTGAATTTATTACACAGAACATGAAGACAATTTTCGCCTTGCTATTTATTATGTTCTGTATAAATATTATTTGTGCTTTTCCCCTGCGCAGAACATGTGCTAAAATCATTGGTGTTTCCTTGCCGCTTAAGTGCCTAGTTGTTGAACGTAGCGTTTTATTTAAATGGAGAAACGACACTGTTTTATCTAAATGGAGGCTAAATGGAGAGATTACGCTTACGCAATGGAAAGGTTCCGTGCTGGAAATCAGCACTTGTATTACTTTCACTATAATAATTGCTGCTTTTAGATAATCCTCCTCTCATAAATATAAAACTCTTTTTATAATGTAATTATATTGTAAAAATGGTTTTATATTTTAGACCGAAAGATACTAGATTATTTGCTTATAGCAACTGACTGTTTTCCCATACTAGTTTTAGAGAAAATCTCACTTTTATTAATTAGTCTTATTATAAAGAGCGAGTCCTTGATCATAAGAGGTCAACGAACTTTTGACTTGTCTTGAATCAATGGATTTCAGTGGTGATTGCAAAGAATTACTTTTTTTTTTTTCTTGGGATGACAAAGCGAAATCGCCATTGTGTCCTTTTAGGTGGCCAGCTAGGATGTAAGATGATGGTGACGTGATGAAGACGTAAGTGGGGGTTCTTGGAGCGTCTTGTGAGGTTCGAGTTAACAGTCAGCCATTAATAATTAGTCCTTTCGTGATACATTGGGGAGTCGCTTTCATGCCAGTACATGGTGATCATGACGATGCAGATTTTAATCAGCTCAGCACATGACTTTTGAATCGTTAATAATCATCACTCTGACATATAGGCCTATAAGGTATATTAAGGGTCTGTTTGTTATGACATTGAAAATGATTTACAAACATATTTCGTGTAAATAAAAACAAAACTCTTATAATATATTTATCTCATATTTTATAAATCATATTTAAAAAATTACTTATAAACTATTTTAATTAAATCCTGAGTAAAAAGCTCCCTGTATGTATTTAGATGATTAATTAATTAATCATATCTCAAAAAGGAGGTGAAGTGTGATTGTATAGAAAGAGAGAATAAAACGAAATGTTTAGATCCAACTCTAAATCACGGAAGAGATTTTATTAAATTGAACATTTTCTGACTTTACTTTTCCATCTTTCGTCCATCATCTCACCGTAACTTAATAAATGTTTTATAATAAATGTTGCATCATAGAGATGCAAAAACTTAAAAGAAAACAAGAACAAAACAAAGATAAAATTGCATATTTGGCCTTATAATTTTATATAAGATTTCAATTAATTCTTTAATTTTATAAAGTGTTTTGTTTTTCAATTTTTTAACCCTAATTGTTAATTTCATTAGCATAAAATATACACTATTGATATTCCAACTTCAAATCTAGACAAAGTATCCTGGAACCTGCATTTGGCTTGCCGATGAGTTCAATTTTTTCGCCTAAAATTTATTGTCTGGGTGCAGCAAAGAAGACGCCAATCAGTTCGGCGGCCTTCC